GGGCCCGCACCCTCACCTCAATGGACGGCAACGTTTTGTTGGTATCGGTGCTGCATTCGCCCAGGATGCTTCCTGCAGACCTGCCTTCACACTGGTACCGAAAGCGCATCCCTCGCTGTTTGGGCTGCTCTGTGATCACGAGTTTCGGGGCTGGCCAGACCACGTCCTTCACCGCGGGACTAGGGGAAGAGGGCCAGGACATCTCCGGGCGCCTGCCGCAAAGGAGCGAAGGGAGAGGGGCCGTCCCCCTGGGAACCAGCGTCAAGTGATTGAGGTTCTGGGAGAGCTGGGAGGCCGAGGAATCGTGCGGGACGTGGGGGGAGGAGAAGCAGGGGGGCTCGAAAGGCCCCACGCCCAGATGCGAGTGGCCCATCCCCGTCGGCTCGATGGGTCTCGGCACCCCGGTCGGGGAGGCCAACCCGGAGCGCCTGGGGATCAGGTTGGCCAGCCCGTTCACGGAGACCTGGGAAGGAAGCAGCGTGGAACCCAGCCCGAACCCATCCTCCTTAAGGAACTCGTCGATGATTTCTGGAAGGCAAAACGAGGAGGAAGAAGAAGAAGAAGAGGAAGAGATTGGATTTATACCCCCTTCACTACCCGAAGGTGTCTCAGAGCGGCTCACAAACTCCTTTCCCTTCCCCTCCCCACAACAAGCACCCTGTGAGGTAGGTGGGGCTGAGAGAGCTCTGACAGAAACTGCTCTTTTCCAAGGACAGCTCTTGTCAGAACTATGGCTTGCCCAAGGTCCACACACAGGTGCAAGTGGAGGTCCACAAGCAGGTCCACAAGTGCAAGGTCCACAAGCAGGTGCAAGTGGAGGAGTGGGGGAATCAAACCTGGTTCTCCCAGGTTACAGTCCGCGCACTTAACCACTACACCAAACTGAAAGAAGGTAGGTTCCAAGTCAAGTTCGAAACACTACACAGCCTGGGCTCGGGGAGGTCCCTGAAGACGCACCGGAGTCCGTGGGGATCCAGCCACAAGGACAGTGGGAGGCGGCATGGAGTTCGATGCAACAGCCATTATCCAGGTTACACAACGAACAAAAATGCCGTGGAGAATAATGAAAACAAGCAGGCAATACTTGTTGGGAAACGGAGACGAGCACCGCCCCCTAGAGTCGGATTCGACTGGCTTTTGAGCAAGGGAAACCTTTACCTTTACTATGTCAAGGAAAGTGCATAAACTATTTATTTATTTATTTACCAGATTTATACCCTGCCCTCCCCGCAAAGCAGGCACGGGGCGGCTTCCCTACAAACATAAATACAATTAAAATCACACAATTATTTAAAACACAACAGATAAAACAAATGCAAACACAAAGTGCTGGTGGCAGTTAAAAGGTTAACTTAGATGGGTTTTATATCACGATTATAAAGTCACACCTTTTCAGCATTCAAAGACAGTATCGGCATTCAAAGTGCATACTGCATGGTCAAGTGGAAAGCCATATCGAAGCGAGCTGCGACAGTCAACAAGAAATAAAGCTGCTTGTAGAAATAAAGTGCTTGTGTGTGTGATTCTTATCAATGAGATATGAATGTTCCTTCTTCCTTTAGAAGAAGAAGAAGAAGAGATTGGATTTATGCCCCGCCCTTCACTACCCAAAGGAGTCTCAGAGTGGCTTACAATCTCCTTTCCCTTCCCCTCCCCACAACAGATACCCTGTGAGGTAGGCGGGGCTGGGAGAGCTCTGACAGAAACTGCCCTTGAGAGAACAGTTCCAAGAGAGTTTGTGACTGACCCAGGGTCACACCAGCCGCTGCACGTGGAGGAGTGGGGAATCAAACCCGGTTCTCCCAGATCAGAGTCCGCACACTTAACCACGAGACTAAACTTTAATAATGATGTCGACTTGGAAATCGTTTCGCAAAACGCTTCTTCAGAAGAAGAGAATACAGGAACGTAACGTTCACAAATCCAGAGTCCAACAAAGTCAATTTCACATCAAGCACTAAAGCTGGCGTCATACCGCTTGTACATGCAATATGCACTTTGAATGTTGATATTGTCTTTGAAGGCTGAAAAGTTAAGACTTTATTATTGTTTGTGCATTTTCATTTACACTCACACATGCGCACGTGCGCACAAACATATGTATATTACAGGGGTCATTTCGTAGAAAAAGAGGTGCGGGAGCTCATTAGCATAACTCATTAGCATAACTTATTTGCATATGCCACACCCCCTGACATACCCAGACGTATGACCGCAGGCAACACCCACCACTCAGGCGCCACTGGACTGTTTTGGATTGCTAGCTATTGGTGGGGGGGAGAACGTGCAGATCTGTCCTCACAGAGGAGGGAGAGCTTGTACCTGAATAAAACTTGGTCTTAAAGGTGCCACTGGACTGTTTTGGACCGGGGGATGGGGGGGTGGGCTCTGCAGCTTACCTGGCTGCTTCTTGCTCTGACTGAGGGCTGCTGGGAGCAGGGGGCGGGGCTTGTTGCATGTGCCCGCCCCCTGGGCTCTTTACTGCTGGAGCTCCGCTCCTGTGCGCTCCTGCAGGAAATGACCCCTGTGTATATATATTGCCTACTTCTTTTCATTATTCTCCATGGTATTTTTGTTTGTTGTGTAATATTCTTCCCTGGTTCTCTCTGGTTGTATTTATCCAGGATATGGCAACAAAGAAAAGAAGAGGGGTGCTAACGTTATTATGCCCTCCCTTCTGTCTCAGTCAGCCTTCAGGCCTGGTGTCCGGATAAAGCCAAAGGGCGGCCTCTCTCCCCAACACCTGCTCAGTTCAGACTTAGTTCACAGGGTAGCCACGTTGGTCTGCAGGAGGATAGGTCTATCAATGGCTACTGGCCACAGTGACTGAGGGGAACCTCCACATCCAGAGACACTAAGCCTCTGAATCCCAGTGCCAGGAAGCAACATCAGGGCAAGGCCTCAGCCTCTCTGCCCAGTTGCTGGACCTCCAGAGGTACTGGTTGACCACTGTGTGAGAGACAAGACGCTGGACTAGATGGACCCCTGGTCTGATCCAGCAGGGCTCTTCCAATGTTCTTATCAGGGGAAGGCCTCATCCTCTATGCCCTGTTGTTTGCCCTCCAGGGGCTGGCCAGTGCGTGAGACAGGATAGTGAACTAGACAGACCACTGGCCTGACCCAGCAGGCCTCTCCTTAGGTTCCTATGAAGGCCTTGTCCTCTATGCCTTGTTGCTGACCATCCAGAGGAACTGATTGGCCACTGTGTAAGTCAGGATGCTGGACTAGATGGGCCACTGGCCTGATCCAGCAGGGCTCTTCTGAAGGCCTCGGCCTCTCTGCCCTGTTGTTGGCCCTCCAGAGGCTCTGGTCAGCCAGTGTGTGAGCTGGGATGCTGGACCAGAGGGACTACTGGTCTGATCCAGCATGGCTCTTCTGAGGTTCTCATGAAGGCCTCAGCCTCTCTGCCCTGTTGTTGGCCCTCCAGAGGCTCTGGTCAGCCAGTGTGTGAGCTGGGATGCTGGACCAGAGGGACTACTGGTCTGATCCAGCATGGCTCTTCTGAGGTTCTCATGAAGGCCTCAGCCTCTCTGCCCTGTTGTTGGCCCTCCAGAGGAACTGGTTGGCCACTGTGTGAGACAGGACGCTGGACTAGATGGATAGACCTCTTCTGAGGTTCTTATGAAGGCCTAGGTCTCTCTGCCCTACTGTCGGCCCTCCAGAGGAACCATTTGGCCACTGTGTGAAACGGGATGCTGGACTACAGGGACCACTGGTCTGATCCAGCAGGCCTCTTCTTAGGCCAGTGGTTCTCAACCTTCCTAATGACCTATACCAATAGGTCAAGGGTGTAGCCTCTAAAATGCAGCCTTTCTCCTTACCTGATGCGTGCCGCGCCCCCAGACCCCAGCTTTCTTACCTAATTCATCTGCAAAACACAAAGCAAAGGATTTTTGATCAGAACCTATTACGTTCCACGCATATGCATGTCTTAAGCAGTTGAGGACATTCACAACATGGTGTAGAATTTGACGTCCAGATCAGCACAGTTTTCACCAAGATTTTAGACCTCAAGAGGGTAGAGCAACTGAACACCAGAGATCTTTTTTCCCCTCCTCCTTTTTTTTAATAACATTTTTAAATCACTGGCCATTTACTTCAATCAGACGTCAGTCCTAAATCATCCAATTTTATGGAGAAATGGACCCCATTCATGGAATATATCTCAGCTTCGGATTCTCAACCCCAAAACTCTTTATACTTAAAATTACTAGACTACTAAACTTTA